TGATTGGCTCATAAAATTTAACAAATGGCAGTATTGTTAAATATTGGATTGAGGGCCCTCCCTGGTGGTACAGTGAGTTAAAACACAGCACTAAGAAGCTAAAGCCACTTCCTCATGAGTTAGATCCCCAACCCCAGAGGTGATCCACATGGTGTGGCAGACCTCTCCTGACCTACCTGCTGCTCCCCTCAGCAGTTGGCCTGTTCTGCTCCCCACTCTGTCTCTGGTGAACCCTCTCACTACCCCTGCACCTCTGGCCTGTACCCCAGTTCTGTATGCATAAATAAATAAATCTTTAAACCATATATATTGGATTGAACATTGTGTAATGAAATGTTTTTCTTTGTTTTGCTAATTGTTTTTATCCTTTTCTTGTTATCTAATGTGTATGATATTCATGTTGTCACAGTTAAAATTTTTGAATTATATTTTTTAATTTTATTGGTTATTTTTTTAAAAACCTCACGTTTAAAAATCTGTATGTTTTCATAATAGCTTGATCTCAATGCCAACTTGGATTACTTTTATCCTTTATCCAGCATGGAATTCAGCACATTCCCATTATTGAAAAAATTGATTTTATTCTTTCTATCAGATGTTCAGCTTCTGTGTATGCTACATTATTCCCTTTTTGTTTCACTTTGTTTGGTTAATGTGTGTGTTCACTGACTCATGAATTTTCTCTTTTTATTCCTTGTTATTTTGAGATTCCTACTAATCCTTTTGTTTCCATTAGTGATTGTCTCTTATTCCTTACAACCGACATTAAACTGGTTTTGGCCAAGCATGCCTGTATACCCCAAGCCCTTCTTCCTCTCCTATTTCTGAATGTGAGCTTTTGCTTATTTAATATTTTCAGTACTAGGATATCAGGGTTTGCCTTTATAACATAGAATTGTTGTGTTTCAGAAAACTTAATGCTATAAATTCCTATTTATGGTATCATTGTCCATTTAGACTTGAACATGTATGTATGTTGTGTGTATGCATATATTTATGTGCCTATGCATGTACACACACACACACAAATACTTATATCATCAGAGGATGTCTCTAGTCTATGCCACCACTACTTCCACTGTGAACTAGGCTTTGATGTCCCCTATGCTGAAAAAGCTAACCTGAATCAACTGTTTTTGGTTATATTCTTTCTCAAGTATTGTCCTCAAAGAAAATATATGAGTTTACTTTGAAAGCTTGCATGCTGAAAATATTTTTCTTTTTCCTTGACAGCTGAATAATATTTTGTCTGGGTATAGGATTCTTGGATCATTTTTCTCAATAGTCTGTACATTGTCCCACTGTCTTCTGCATTCCAGAGTTGTAGATGAGAATTCCTTAGCTAGTCTGAACCTCTTCTCTTTTAAGTAACTTTCTGTCTGGAAGCTTGTATAATTTTCTGTTTATACTTGAAATTCAAGTATTTCCTGGATTCACTTCCTGGACTTAATGAGACTTTTAATCTGCAGGCTTAAAATCTTGCTTCTGCTCAGTATAATAATTAAAAAAAAAATCTGGTACTGTATTCATTTAATTACATCTCCTTCATCTTTTTTTTTTCTTTTTCTTTTTCTTTTTTCTTACTTTTTCCTTTTTTAAAAATCCCTTCTGGAATTCCTCTTATTCTCATGATAGTCTGCTGGGACTGTTTTCTAAGCCTCTTATTTCTTCATTATTTCTCTCTTTGTGCTTTGCTAAGGATAGTAAGATATTTCTTTCACTCAGTTTCCAGATCATTAATTTGATATTGAAAAATACCAGTGATTTTTTTAAGCCTTCTGCAGAAAATTTTAACTTAAAACTTAAAATTAATGGGTTTTGTTCAGAAAGTCTTTATTACATCCTTTTTCAGCTCTCCCCATGTAAAGGTGTTCTGTATAATCTTTTGGGTGCACTGTACCCCTTAAGTTAGGTCTGTTTTCATTTTGCCTACCCATTGTTTTATGTTTTTTCTTTTTTTACTAATGTTAGGTTTTGTATAGTCTCTTTGGCATTTAAAAATCTGAAAGTTAGTGAAAGATTCAGCAGATTTAGCCCTGGCATTCTCACTGGTACTGGACAAAGAGTGGGTGGCTCTTTCTCCCTAGGAAAAAGGAACATTCCTTTCTGGCTACTGGTCTTTGAAGCAGTTCAGCCTACCAATATATCCCCTTTTTTTCTCAGGCATCATTCTCTAATTCTCTTTTTTATTTTTTAAGTTATGACAGCTCTTTCTTTAAAAAGAAAGATTATGCACACAAGAACAGGGATATAGGCTAGAGCTGCAGGGGTTGGGGGTGGGAATGAAGGGATTTATTCTAGACAGAGTAGGGAGAATAGGGAAATCTACTGAAATACACTGCTGAGGGGAACACCAGGTGAGACAGGAGAGATCTGCTGCACCATGTGGGTCACCCCCCAGGCCGGGGATCAAACTTGTGCTGCAGTGGCTTTGGATAGCTTCATAGTGCTGAGACTTAACCCCTTGCATCACCAGGAAGGGTGCCATCCTTTCTCTAATTCTAATTGACAAACTGAGCATGACCTGCCACCCCTCACTGGGCTGGTAGACCAGCTTGCCTGAGGATGAACAGCTCTATCCAGGAATGCATGTTGTCCTCTGAAACACCATCTAGAATGAGAAAACCTTGGGCTTAGTAGAAGTCTCAGGGAGAGGCAACTCCTTTGTTCTGCTGTAGGTACTTTGCATTTATTCACCAGCAAGAGAAGTCCTACCCTTGCTCTCTCTCTGCTGAAGATTTCTGCAGAATATGTGACCTCTCTAAAATTTGCCAACTTTATTGGTTTGACACATCCACACTACTTAAGAATTGATTTAAAGCTACCCAAATGGAGTGAACCCCAATAGTGTTTAAATAGTCCTGATAGGAGAAGGGTTTTCCAGAGGCACCTGGAGCAGTAAAACTTACTCCTTCAGGATTCAATCCTCACTCCAACCATACTCTCCAGTCACATACTATGACTTGCTATGTGAACTAAAGCATCACTCTCCTTGCCCTTATTTGGGAGAAAACCTATGTGGAACAATGTAGTTATGCTATAAAGGTGTTGACTTCTTTAACTGTTTCTCTCTTACAAACCACATAGAATGTTCAGTAGTTTAACACAATAATTCTTTATTTGACTCACGAGTAACTCTTTTAGTCTATGCTGTGGTGGGTGGGAGCTGCTTCTGGACTCAGCTAGACTCACTCAGCATTGGCTGCCTGGGGATGTCTGTTCCATGCTAGACATGGCTTTCTCTTGCTCCACAAATCTCTCCTCCTCCTCCTGGGACCATTGGCTCCCCCAGACACAATGCTCTCATGGCATTGTTAGAGGGGCAAGACAGCATGAAGAAATGCATCCTGTTGTGAAGGCTTAGACTCAAAGTTGGCATGCAGTCATTTCTTTTGGTTAAGTCCAGTCACATAATAGAATCTAAAGTCCATACATAGAAAAAGAAACCCTGTCCACAGCGCAAAGGGTGGAAGGAGGAAGGTATAGCACCATGAATTCCATAGCAAAATGTGTGTGTGGAAGACCTGAGGCCATGAACTTAACCTCCTCCATCTATGAACTGCAGCACTACATTTCTAAGTTATAATATAGCTGGGAAGGAGAGAGCCACCAGCTTAGTGTGGACGTAGTAGAGAAGCTTTTGGAGAGGAGATGTCATTGGACTCTTTCCTAAAGTTGTTGAAGCAATTAAAGGATTTTAATCAGGGATGAAGAGATGATATCACTTAGAGTCTGTAAAGTTTGCTCTTTACAAAATAGGAAGAACAGACTGGAAGGGAAGAGGGAGGTAGGAGTGATATATAAGGAAGCAGTTAATATACTACACAATAAAGCCTGAGATGTGCTCTGGGAGTTTGGAGGAGGGACACCCCAACTAGGAAGTGACTCAGCCCAGGCTAAGGGAAATGTTTGAATTATTTGGGTAAAGAAGCTGTGAAAAATTGTCTAACCCAGCAGGAATAGGGCAAAGGCTCAGACATGTGCAAGAACATGACTTTTCAGAGAAGTGCAAAGAAGTTTTTTTGTTGGAATGTAGAAAAGGCTGAATTGCTGAGTAATGAAGTGAAAGGAAAATACCTCCCTGCACTCAAGTTTACCTCCTATTAAATATCTATTTAGATTGGAGTGGCCCTACATATACCAGGCACTTTTTGTTTTTTATTTTTTTGTTATAGGAAATTTTGAGCATATGCAAAACCAAGTAGTATAAAAGAACACCCTGGTAACCATCACTCAGCCCCAAAACCAATTTAAGGCCTGTCCTACCCCATCCTCAACACCATTCACTCCCCTTTTGTTTTGAAGAAAACCCCAACTACTGTACTATTTATCTGAAATGTTTCAATGTATATCTCTGAATGATAAGCCTTTAAAAAATACAATATCAGGCCCTCCCTCGTGGCGCAGAGGGTTAAAGCATAGCACTGAGAATCTAAAGCCGCTTCCTCATGAGTTTGATTCCCGCCTGCCCCGGAGGTGACCACATGGCAGACCTCTCCTGACCCGCCCGCTGCTCCCCTCAGCAGTGTACTTCTTCGATCTGCCTGTTCTGCTCCCCACTCTGTCTCTGGTGAAGCCTCTCGCCTCTCGCCGCCCCTGAGCCTCTGGCCTGCACCCCAGTTCTGTATGCACAAATAAATAAATCTTTTGAAAAAATACAATATCATACCCAAAATTTAATAATAAAACTCAGTCTCATCAAATAGTTAGTCATCTTTGTGATATCTAATTATCTCACAAATGTACATATAAAAATAGATATAATTCAAATGTTTATATAGTTTAAAACTAGGTAAAGGGCTGAGACTCTTTTGAAAGTGAAAGAAGATGCTTTAAATCATTAGCAGTTTTGAATGTGAACTTTTGATCTAAATAAGATTGTATAATTACCTACACTGGTTCTACTTCAACACTGCTGCTGCTATTGGGTGGATATTTGAAAAAAACACCATGGAAGACTAGCTCATATCATTGGTGTTAATTCTCTCCTGTTTTCTTAGGTCTCTCTGCTCACTGGTGTGCAAATGGACATACTCCGCAGAGAAAGGCTGGGATGACAGTTTCTGGAAGATGATTGGCTTGGAAGAGTTTGTTGCAGATAATTACAGCAAAATAGGTAAAAATTTAAAAATCAACAGATTTTTGTATATGTATATGTTATATATATATATATATATATATGTGAGGATGTTGGCATTTTTTGGCTTTGTCTGACTTAAAATACAGGAACACAGACCTGTTTTTTTGTTTTGTTTTGTTTTGTTTGTTGTTTTCAAGGGAAATGCAGAAGTGGTGGGTAAGCCATCAAGGGAAATGCAGAAGTGGTGGGTAAGCCATGAATCCTTGAGTTAGAGATGAGAAAAAATTGAGGGGATGAAGTATATAGAACCTTATCTATAGACTCTAAGGAGGAAGTTATTTGTATGAAACAGATGGGAATAACATTAACGGGGAGGGAGGTAGTGTATCAATCATTCCCAGTACTATGAAAATGTTTTGTGAATTAGATTGAAGGAACCAGGGAAGGCCATGAACAGAAAACATAATAGTTGAAGATCAAAAGTAGAGGAATCAGGAACAACATTGAAACCAAATCCTGAGTCAGTGCTTCCTGAGGAAGACCTTGCGGTCCCAGATGCCCAGTTTCATGTGGCACTGACTTGGTACTAGAGGCGCAGTGGCTCGTAAGGGCCACCTGGTGGGAGAATCTAAATTCTGTATGTGATGTGTGCAGCTTGTGTGTGTGTGGTGTGTGTATTCAGGTATATTTAATGATAAGTGACATTTCAATATTTAAGGTTTGCACATTCCCCTCATAGAAAGATGTTGTTTTTTTTTTTTTTCCCTACATTTTAGCAAGCTGTCATCAGCTCTCTGGAGAAAATAGGTATAGGGTTGTGGTAATATCTTAGTTGGTGAATAGATATAACTTCACAGAGTATAAAAATGTATTGATATTTTGGGGCCTCTCTGCCATTAAAGACACAGTGCTATCAAGCTATTGGCAGCCACTGCAGCAGGAGTTTGATCTCTGCCAGGGAGCCTACTCAGATAGTAGCAGATCTCTCCTGTCTTACCCACTGCTCCCCTCAGCAGTGTATTTCAGTAGATCTGCCTGTTCTGCTCCCTGCTGTCTCTGCACCTCTGGCCTGTACCCCAGCTCTGTATGCATAAATAAATATTTTTTAATATTAAGGAAGTATTAATATTTTAAGTAAGTCATATGATGTTTGGACAGTTTGGAGCCAACCCCTGGGCAGCCACTGGATAACAGTGTTAAACTTCTATTCCAATGGCTGAGGGAGTATGGCATGTTGGGACTCCTGTTAACCAGGTTGGGTTTTAGACAGTACTTCAGGGCCAGTAAGGGGAAGAGGCAGCCAAAAAGGAAGGTGATACTGAATAGAGAGCTCAGAGAGGGCATGGACCACATCTGTCTTGCTTTGACTATCCTGGCATGGACGATGTTGATAAATGCCTACTGATGTAATGGGCAAGAGATAAACACAACTCTTTCAACTGACACAGATTGGCAAGAGTTAAGAGAACGCTGGCAAAGAACTATCTCAGGGTGCCTTAGCCCAGTCTGCTATTTCACAATACCTTGGACAGGTAATTTGAGCAACAGATATTTACTTTTTCACAATTCTGGAGACCGGGAGATCCACGATGAAGATGCTGACAAGATAAGCTTAATTAATTCCGAGGCCTCATCTCTTGATTTGTTGGCTGCTGTTTCTCTGGATTCTCACATGACCTCTTTGTGCATGTGCAAAGAGAGAATGCACGCGGGTACATCATCTTTTAGGGACACTAACCCTGTTAGATCAGGACCACCCTTTTGACCTTACTTAATAGTAATTGGCTCCTTATAAACTGTCTTCAAATGCAGTCATACTGGGGGAGGGGACTTCAACATATGAGTCCTGTGGGACACAGCTCAGTGCACCAAAGTACTAGTGCAATTTGTTCTAACTAAAACAGGGCCACTAAGCTGAGAGTTCCCACTCATATCTTGGAAGCTCCCCATGAGCTTTCTGTCTTGCTGAAGAGCCATCAGGATTGAGAGCTGGGGAGGGCTCTTGTCCTGTAATTGAGGGTTACAGGCAGGTTAGGTCTGCAGCCCTGAACAGAGAGTTAGGGTAATTCTAGCTCTAATATTAATGATGTGAACCTAGACAGGTCTCATAATGTTTCTGTTTCACTACGTTCTTGCCTATGAAAGACATAATTAATGGCAGCAATTAAAACTAATAGTTCACCGCTTCTCAGACTTGATTTTATTGCATTACCACCATTATCTTATTAAATTTTCCAAAACGCATATTTAAAAGTTTTATTTATCCTGTTCTGCAGCTGAAGAGCAAGTGCAGCTAACTGACAGTTGTGCAGTGTGCAGGTGATAGAGACACAGTTCAAGCCTGTGACTGGATGACTCCAAATCCTGCCTGACCATTGCACTCTCCTGACTTCCAAAGAACATTCACCATGTACCTGGAGTAGGCAGCAAATTAATGCTAGTCCTTCTTTTCCTTCTGTATTTCTAGCACATTTCTATGCACTTCCACATACTTAATGACTCATAATGCTTATAATCAGTGACAGAAGTGCTGTTACTGTGTTTACCGATGATAATCAGAACAATAAGTCGTTCTGCCTAACCACAGGCAGAATGAATAAGTTGGAAGTCAGAATAGACACCTTCCCAACAGCAGGGCTTATAAGGAGCTAATATTTGACTGAAACACACATTTCAATTTTATTAGTTTTAAAGATTTATCTATTTATGCATACAGAACTGGGGTACAGGCCAGAGATGCGGGAGTGGTGAGAGGCTTCACCCAAGATAGAGTGAGGAGCAGAACAGGCCAACTGATGAGGGGAGCAGCAAGCAGGCGGGTCAGGAGAGGTCTGTGGCGCCATGTGGATCACCTCCGAGGCAGGGATCGAACTCATGCTGAAGTGGCTTTTGCTTCTAAGTGCCATGCTTTAACCTGCTGCACCACCAGGAAGGGCCCCAAATTTCAATAGCAGTGGTATAAGTATTTTTTTTTCTATTTTTGTATATGTCTACTCCCAATGTAGTTGTTCTTTCTGCACGTTCCCATGATATTCTGGCCATACTTTATCATACTACACATTGATGTCTTGTTTATGAGTTGATTCCACACTACACTGTGAACTCCTTTGTTTCAGGATTTTCACTTATTTATTTTTATTTTCCTTGTCCTAGCACAGGGAATAGCACATTTGATTGGTGAGTAGGGAAATTAGTGACGAGATGGCTGGCCCTACAATGTCAGTACTGTTTGCTTATGAAAGCTATAATGGTCTTTATTGATTTTAGCAATATTTTTTACTTATTTGGGTCCAACTTCAAGTCCTATATTCTGTTTGTTTTACCATTTTGGTCCTTCCCCTTACATAAGACCCATGTTTAATTAGTATATTAGCTCTGCTAATAGAGCAATACCTACAGGAAATATTCATTAAAAGCCCATAATGTTAATCTAGCAGAAAATTTCCAAGTAACTGTATTAGATTTTGCCTGTTAAGTTAATGGATTTTTAATGGATGTCCTAAGGAGACATATCATTAACCGGAATATTGCTATACATGAATTAAAACTTACCCATTCATCAAAATTAATTGTGTGATATTGCCTTTGATATTCATTTCTGGTGATTTGAACTTGTAGCTTCAGTCTGAACCCAAAGTGCAAGATACTAAAGAGGATGCTAATTCTCTTTGGGACTTTTCAGAAAACTTGTCTGAAACTTTTCTCTAGACGTTCTTTCACAGTTCTTGGAACTATGAAAACTGAATCTCGGAAGCCTCCCTATGCAGTGTTAAACATTTCCAGTGGGCTCATTGCCCATCAAGACGTGGGCAGTACAGTGCAAAACCTTTTAGCAAGACTTGAGCAAAGCATCGTGGATTTGAGCATTAATACAATTACCATAATTCGCTCCATGTGGAGCTTTTAGCCAAGTCTTTACCAGCCTTCCTGGGCTCATGCAGTAAATAAATGCTTTCCCTGAAAACTGAGCACCTCAGCAACTGATGATCTTCTGGAGGGATGATTTTGAAATAAATTATTTATGAAGTGTAAGTTAAGGATCAAATGCAATATTTATATGGTACATTTCAAGGACAGGGGAAGAAATTTACAATGTTTTGAATAGCTACATACAAGAACCTGAAGCTAAAATGTTACTACTGAATGTGTTCTTTCAAGGAGATATCTGGGTGGTTTCACTGGGGAACATTATACAAAGTAAGAAAAAATAGTTTTGTGAATCAAAATATATATAATGGACTTTGCTTTACAATTGACAGAGTGATCATTGATTTAATGTTAAATTGATGGAGAAAACAGACTCGGTGTTTTGTGGGGAATTGTATACCCATAGTCTGTAGGATGATCTGTGTTGATAGATCTTGATATTCAGTTCTAGGTAACACCCTTCCAGGTTACCTGTCTAGTCCTAAATATCTGTCAAAGGCAAACAGGAAGGAAGAGCTCAGCAGGGAGAAGGGACCGTTTTGGAGAAAAGCAGCATCCCACCTATTCTAATCCATTATCCAGGCTCTCTTTGAGCCTGTCTCAGTTGCCTTTTGCTTCCTGAGAAAAGTACTTTATTGTGTTATTGGGATAGGGGACTTTATGTTACACACATGACTGAAGTCTAGAGTGATTATTTGCATTGCAGAAAGAGCCTCATTATAGAAAAGGGTTCAATGTGTCAGCTTATAGAGCAGCCATTATTTGGAGTCAGGAAAACAAAGAAGAAACTTAAACCCCAAATAGGAGCTACTGTAAAGTGAGAGGCTGAAATGGAGATAAAGCTTAGGTGAAACAAGGCGATTCCTAAGGGGGAGGAGGCTATGTCTTTTAACTGGCTTTCTTTCCCTCTGTGAGACTGTATTTGAAGTGGCAGACACAGTGGACACAGAGTAGATTCCGATGAAATACTTATTGAAAGAGTGAATATGTGTTTGACTGAAATATTTGATAAATAAGTCCTGTTTGGGCTTCAATTTTCTCTAATTCATAATGGACTCTATAAATTGTATTGAATTAAATAGCACTCATAGGTGACAGAGAGACAATGA